GCGGTCCCTGTGCTTTGCCAAGCTTGTTTCAAGTAGGTGCTTTAGACCACTGAGCCATCTCTCCAGCCCCCACAAAACTAATTTGAATAAATATATAAAATATTTTAGTTTTTTTAATAAAAAATGTAGCTATCAAGCAAAATACCTCATGACCATGAAACACCCAAGGTGACTGTGATCAGTCCACCTTATTCTCAGAAATTCATCTGACATTTTAAATTGCCTGAACAGTCTCATCAGGGATAAGTACAAAATTTAAAATGTTAAGACTTGGGGGGACCCGCTGATTAGCTCAATTGTTTAAGCACCTGCTCATGCAAATGCAGTCAGGTGCAGGATACCACAATCCGATCCCCAGCTCCACCTGCCTTACCAGATCCACCCTTAAGGCAGCCTGAGCCACAAAAAAACAAACAGAGCTAGAGAGATATAATAGTTGACCATGAACTTGGTATGGATGAGTCTCCAGGTTTAATCTCCAATACCAAAAAACAAAATAATGGTGGGTTTTCCCAACTTCTAACAAACTTCAGGGTTCCTGGAAATTTACTCTGAGATTCAGTAGAAACTCTATTAAAGACCAGGAATCCAAATTTATTTATGTCTGTCTACACACCCATCCACCCACCTCTTTAGTTCTGCAGTACTGTGGACCAAATTCAAGACTTTTATATTGAGCTACATCCCCAGGCCTTTTGAGACAGGGTCTCGTTAAATTGCCCAGGCGGGGCTCAAACAAGCCACCTCCTGCTCTGCAGGCTCCTGAGTGCTGGAATGACAGGTGTGTGCAGTCACAACCAGCTTTTGAGACTGAGTCTCACTATGCAATACAGGATGGCTTGAGATTTGCCATGTAGCTCAGGCTGTTCTTGAATGTGCAATATTCCTCCCCTTAGCCTCCCACAAAAACCTGGCATCTTAAATTAATATATGATATGCTAACCAGGCTTGACTACATCCTTACAGGAACTGAAAAAGGTGAATTAAAGAAATAATGGCAGGGGCTGATGAGATGGCTCAGGGGTCTAAAGCACCTACTTAGAACAAGCTTTGCAAAGCACAGGGACCGCGGTTCAATCCCCCAGCACCACATGCCGGCCAGCCCCGCCCCCTGGTGGGCTGAGCTGGCCACACACACACACACACACACACACACACACACACAAATAAATAAATAAAATTAAAATTAAAATTAAAATTAAAATTAAAAAAAAAAGAAATAATGGCAGGACCTATAGTTGGCAGCTGTTCCTCAGAGTGCAGTGTTCCATTAGAGTTCAAAGAGAACTTGAGAATGATTTTTTTTTTTTTTTCCTGACTCAGGCTGCCTTAAGGGCAGGGTCTGGTAAGGCAGGTGGAGTTGGGGATTGAACCCCTACATCCTATGCCTGACTGCATTTGTATGAGCAGGTGCTTAAACAACTCAGCTAACCAGCAGGCCCCTCAAAGTGAACTTGAGCAAACCTGCTTTGCTCAGAATTTCTTGAAGGATCCAATTCCTTCAATTTGTTGAAGAACCCATTCCTCTTCTGGCCCAAAATAGAAACCACAGGCTGACTTTGGTTCTTCCCTGTTCTTTAATCCCTATATCCCATCAGTCATTGCTTCCTCCTAGAAGTCATTTCAATCTGTCTCTTTACATCTCTTCCCTGCTACGCTGCTGTTCCATTACCTTTTTAGTGCCTCTCTCCAGGCTGCCAATCTGCCACATGCAATCTAGCACTGCAAACCAGACTAAACACTCTTTAATAGAATTCATCACCAGAGGTGGAGAATGTAGCTCAGTAGCACAAGTGCCTGTCTGGTAAGTGCAAGGTCCCAATTCAAATTTAAAAAACAGAATTCATCACCTACCTGAAGATTAAACACCAACATAGACAGACAGGGCCCCCTTCCATAGGCTGGACCTCCCAGCTCTCTACTCATTTCCTTAACAATAGTCATGCTCTGCAATATACTGTTTTTATCCATGGACCACATATATGACAGTGGGCCCATAAGACACTTAAATTTTGGGGCTGGGGAGATAGCTCAGTGGCATTAGTGCCTGCCTAGCAATAGCAAGCACAAGGTCCCGAGTTCAATCCCTGTTAACCGCCCCCCCCAAGAAAAGTTTATAGAAGTACATTCTATGTTTGCACAATGATGGAATCATCTAAAACCATTTTTCTCAAAAAGATAAAAGGTACTCTGATCATTAAGGGATAGGTGGCTACTTCAACAATATTAGCCTCTTTCAAGTTCAAGTTCAAAGCATGCTGTTTTTCATATCTCCATGATATTTCTATGAGAATTCCGGTGCCATTCATCCCAGCTCCTCTTCTTTGCCTGGCTATTTACCCTTCAAGGCTCAGGACTGTCAGAAACCTTTCTTTGTCCTCCTTTCCCCCCAGTGATTCTTCTGTGCTCACATCCACAGTGATGGAAACACTTTTTTCACAGCACTATGGTGAAGTTTCTCTTATATCTGTCCTACCTACAGGACTGCAGGCTCTAAAGCACTGACCAAATTTCATCCCTTTTGTATCCCTAATATTAGCCAAGTGAATTGTATAGCAGAGAACAGAATGAAATGTTAGGTGAATTCTAGTTTCCATTATTATGTCCTATCCACCAAAGCCCAATGACTCATGGCTCACCTGTACTTGTAAGCGCAACTGATCCATCTTCTGCTGTTGCTTCTCCACAATCTGAAAGACAAAATTAGCAAAGAAGACTGTATATGTGAGGCTCATGTTGAGGTCAAAGGACAAGGGAGTACACCAAGATCTGTAGTTTGGCCATCAGCTCCTCTAGCTACAGCCCATTAATTGTGAGAACAGGGTAAAGACTAATTAGCACTATCTAAAGAAATGTACTCACTCCAGATTTTGATTATACAGCTTCACATTCCTGCAACTTCTGTGCCTCACTCACACAGAGGTTTATACAGAATGGAATAGAGTCTACTGGAAGTAGGAGGAACCCCCACCCTAATGAGTGCAAGTCAATGGAATTACCTTTATACAAAGCCAGTATATACTGTGGTTCTTTGGTAAGGAGATGGCTAGACAATTCAGTTTAATGAAGCCTGTCCTATGCAGGGCTGTGATGGTTGTTAGTGATTACTATGCCCACACTGACTAACGAAGGAAAGATCCTGAATAATCTGTCTCTCGAGTGTTCTCTGAAGTACTTTTGGGTCTTTTCTTCTGATCTGCACAGTCTCACCAGCAGGCCACAGACTGCCTCTTCTCGATAACTGAGAAACCAAGACACTTCACTGACTAGAACTCTGCCTAATACAGGTATAGACCTGAGCCACAAATGAAGTGTACCAAGCTCTGATTCACCATTTTGGGTCATCTAATCTGGATGTTGAAAGGTATGTTCCCCTAAATTTTTTTCTTTTCTTCTTCTTCTTTTTTTTTTTTTTTTTTTTTTTTTTTTTTTTTTTTTGGTGGTAATAAAGTAAGTCCTTGACTTATGAAGGAGTTTCACACTAGGAGAATTGTTAAGTTGGAGGTCATTCCTAAACTGATAAAGTGAGTCTTATATGATATACCTGTGCAAGTTCACAACTTGAATTAAACAAGGACTTACTATACTGGGAACTGCACCCAGGGCCTTTGCACTAAGCTACATCCCAAGCCATTTTTTAATTTTTATTTTGAGTCAGGGTCTCACTAAATCACTAAATTGCCCAAGCCATGCTTCAAATTGCAATCCTCCTGCCTCAGCCTCTGAGAATTCTAGGATTGCAAGGATGTGCTAACATAACCAGCTCCTTCCTCAGTTTGGTTTATAATATTTCTAACAAGTACAGTGAATGTCTAAAATGCAAGCTTACTAGGCAGGGGCAACTTCTCAAGAGATGAGCTACTGGTAGCAGATTCTAGGTAGCACAAGGCTAGGAATTCATGGTTCTTCTTTTTAAAAAAAAAAATGTATTTAGGACAGGGTCTACAGGGTCTCACTATGTAGACTGGACTCAGTGATTCTGTTTTCAGCCTCCCAAGTGCTGGGAATACAGGTGCACCACCATGCCCAGTCTTTTTTTTTTTTTTTTTTTTTTTGCAGAACTGGGGATTGAACTCAGGCCCTTGCACTTGCCAGGGAAGCGTTTATTCTACTGAGCCATCTCCCCAGCCCCCCTTTAAAGCACATACTTTTAGAGGCTCGTAGACCTAGTGTCACAAAGGTGCCATCTCTAGATTTTCTTTTCTTTTGACCAGCCCGCGGCATGTGGTGCTGGGGGTCAAACCGTGGTCCCCTGGGCCTGCCTAAGCTTGCCTAAGCAGGCACTTTAGACGGCTGAGCTATCTTGCCGGCCCACCATGCCCAGTCTCAATCACCATCTCAGTGCAACCCCCTGTGGAGGGGGCAGCACAGCTTGCTGGGGATCGAACCCTGGCTGCTGTGCTCTGCCTAAGCAGGTGCTTTAATCTGCTGAGCTATTTGGCTGACCTTCATGGTTCTTTTTAAGTATACAATAATATTCATTCATTCATTCATTCATCCATTCATTCATTCATTCATATAGTAGAGATTGAATGTGGGCAAGCACTTCACTACTCAGCTATACTCCCAGCCCTTTTAAAATGGAACAGTCTCATAAAGTTGCCCAGGCTGTCCTTAAACTTGTAATTTTTTTTTTGCCTTAGCCTCCCCAGTTACACATTACTCATATGGGTCGCCAGTGTCTATATCTGGCTCTATAATCTTTTTCCTCTCAGCCCAAACATCATTATAGCCTAGATACCCTTAAGTTACCTTCCGGAGGGAATCACATTCCTCCTGTAGCGACTCCATTTCCACTTTGGAATCTTCTCCACCAGCTTCTTCCAAAGACTGCTTATCTTGCAGGCTGAAAGACAGCAGCCTCTTCAAGAACTCTAATGTCAAATTAATGTGGCTTTGACTTCTGGTTCTGCTGCTTACTTAATGTCTAAGACAAGACACTCAGTCCCCTATAGATTGTAGCTGAGGACAATGTTTTAAGTCTGTTGTAAGTGTAGTGTGAGCTGTAAGAAGCTATTCAGTGCATACTGGTTGTCTGCCCTGTAAGAATGTACCAATGAGCCATCAATTCTCTACTTATCAAAGGCTCCTGTTTTGATATATAAACATCACATACATTTAGACTATAAAAGTGACAGATGTACACTGTAGGAATTTTGGGAAATGCAAAAGAAATCTTTTTTCTTGGCCTCAATAGACTAGGGTAGAGCCAACTTTGTCCCTTAATTCTGGTTCTGGCTCTAGCCAATGGCTTCCTCCAGTAGATCCCTCATAATCACTTCCATCATGGCCCATCTGCTGAGATAAACAATAGGGTCACTGTGGTCAATATGGGATAAGAAATCCAATCCAACCATTAAGAACTGGATTTAATCCAAGAGGCTATTGAAACACAGCCATCATTTTCAGAAATTGCTATTAATACGAAGGAGTTCCCAAGATACTCTGAGAGCACATTATGGCATGTTGTTTTGTTCTCAGAAATTCTTCTGCAATTGAGAGCAATTCCAAGGCTGAAAAGAAACAGATGCTCTTGGTAGCCTATAGCATAAAAGGTTCAAAATGTAGACAACCCCATACCTCAGTACCAAGATCCATTTTTCAAAATATATAGATACCCTGCTTCCTAGTTCATAGTGTTTTATCATATATATAAATAATTATATATATATATATATATATATTTCAAGGATTCTTATGTGCTAGGGACTGAGCTGGATTCTCCCTAAAGACATAGTAAGAAGTTCCCATTGAGCCACCATACATACATTTTACACCATCCCACATATTTCTTGTCCATTATTAGCTTTTTTTTAATCCTTCACAAACCAAAAAAGATCAAGCTCAAAGATATAAAACGAAGTGTACAAGCACCTAAAGTCATACAGGTAAGTATGGCTAGTGATGACCAGAACTGAGCTCTCCCCTCCCTTCAATTTCACAGTGGTGTTTACTTATGTTTAGTGGAGAATTCTGCTTCTCTTTGTCTCAGGCTTTCCAGCTGAATCTCCTTCTCTCTGCAGATTGTCTGGGTCTCCTCCAGCAAACTCTCCAACTCAATCACTCTGTTTTGCAGCTTTGCGGTCTTCAACTCAGAATCTTTAAGCTAAGAAATAGGATCCCATGCTTAGAGTAAGTCACAAAACACTGAATAGATAACTCAAAATATTTTTAGTTCCAGTTATATAGATGTGAACCTAGACATGACTCCTTTAGGATTTTCCTTTTAAGAAGTAGCCTTTCAGAAAGTTCACAGCAAATGAGAAAGTTCTCCTGCCTGGCTACTCAGCTTTGCCCCAGGTACGCTCACACACTGCTACTACCTGCTGGCTTTGCTTCTCATGATCTTCTAGTGTAGGCAGGTCAGCCAGGTAACGCTCCAAGGTCTCAATATGCTGCTGCTTCTCACGGTTCTGCTCAGATTCCTTCTGGCATTTTTTTTTCAAATTATTGATATGTTTATCACGACCTTTGACCTAGGGAAAGAAATGTTAAGTCTCTCTCCATTCACTCTCTTTTTGAGACAGCATCTCACTATTCAGTTCAGGCTGGGCTTCAGCTCACTTTATAGCCCAGGCCAGTCTCAAACTCATTACAATCCTCCTGCCTCAGCCTCCCAAGTGCTGGGATCCACTCATTCTTCTTGGACCTTGATCATCAACTTTTTCCAAAGTGACCACTGCCTCTGTTCTTGAAGCTATTCATGTTGTTCTACTCAACAAAGGCAGAAAGTTTCAACAAATTCTTCCATTTGGATTGAGGCATAAACTGCAGAGTCAACACAGCTGAACTTTCCTGTCAGGGGCAAGAATGAAGGGCCCTAGAGGCAGTTCTTAAAAAATTGGTGGTACTTCTGTAAAGTAAACTTTATGCTTCTGTTAACTTCTGAGTTTTCTAAGAAATGCTCAGAAAGGTGGAAGACCATGTCTGTTAAAAAAAAAAAATGAAAATTTGAAGACATGGTAAAAGCAGACAAGGCTCATTATGAGAGAGAAATGAAAACTTATATTTCTCCTAAAGGAGAAACAAAAAAGTTCAAGGATCCCAATGTACCCAAGAGACCTCCTTCGGCCTTCTTGTTCTGTTCTGAGTATCGCCCAAAAATCAAAGGAGAACATCCTGGCCTCTCCACTGGTGTTGTCGCAAACAAACGTGGAGAAATGCAGAATAATACTGCAGCAGATAACAAGCAACCATACAAGAAGACTGCTAAGCTGAAGGAAAAGTATGAAAAAGACATTGCTGCCTACCAAGCTAAAGGAAAACCTGATGCAGCAAAAAGGGAGTCATCAAGGCTGAAAAAAGCAAAAAGGAAGAGGAGGAAGAAGAGGATGATAAATAAGTTGGTTCTAGCGTTTTGTTTTGTTTTTTTCTTATCCATAAGGCATTTAACCCCTCTGTGCACAACTAACCCCTTCTGAAGAAAAAAACTTGAAATGTAAGGCTGTGTAAGATTTGTTTTTAAACTATACAGTGTCTTTTTTTTTTTTTTTGTATAGTTCACATACTACTGAATGTCTTTTTTTTGGGGGGGGGTATAGGCAGAACTGGGGATTGAACTCAGGCCCTTGCGCTGGCCAGGGAAGCACTTATTCCACTGAGCCATCTCCCCGGCCCCCCAAATGTGTCTTTATATAGCCCTGTCCTGGAGGTATTTTCAATAGCCACTAACCTTGCCTGGTACAGTATGGGGGTTGTAAACTGACATGGAAATTTAAAGCAAGTTCTTGTTGGTGCACAGCACTGATTAGTTATGTATGGGGACGGTAGTTTTTCATTTTCAGTTGTCTCTGATACAGCTTATACAAAATAACTGTTGTTCTGTTAACTGAATACCACTCTGTAATTGAAAAAAAAAAAAAGTTGCAACTGTTTTGTTGACATTCTGAATGCTTCTAAGTAAGTACAATTTGGTTTTTTTGGCGGAACCAGGGATTGAACTCAGGCCCTATGTTTGCCAGGGAAGCACTTATTCTACTGAGCTACCTCCCCGGCCCCTGTTTTCTATAGTTCTAAATATTGGTCTGGAGAATTACGGAAAGAGTCACAGGACTTTCTGAATTTGTAAGTTGATCAGTACAAGTGGCCTAGGGAGCTCAGAACTCAGTTGTTGTCTGAAATAAGTGCATGTTGTTGAGGACAATGACCTTAAATTTGTGTGAAGTCTAGTTGTGTGAGTCTAATTCTGCCTCAGAATTAGATTTTAGTAGTATATGTAACTTCCCTATAGACATACGGAAAAGTTCAGATGTGTTAACTCTGCATATTCTGGTGAGAAAGGCACTCTTCTCTAAAAACCACACATAACATAAACTTAAGCAAACATGTGAAAGAGCTAATGAGACTATAAACTCTTTTTTTTTTTTTTTTTTTTTTGGAACCGGGG